ACTTAGGAAATGTGGAAAATTGTATTTAACTACTAGAAATCCTTTAACTCAATTTTTTTTGAACAAATAATTTATCAACGTTTTTTTTGTAGTTGCAAATGGTTTGTGGAATAACTTATTGGAACCAGTTGGCGTTAAAACGAAATCCTGGCATGATCTTTTTGAGAGGTTTCTGTGTCCAACTTCGGAAAGGCCTTACTTGGCCACATTGCAAAATTTACTTCAAGCGATAGTTTTCTGACTGTAGTGAAAACAATCTATGGTGAAATATGTCGTATCGGCATACACATCAGAAGCGAGTTGTATGCTTAAATCTAATATAATAGCCTGAGTTATGACTGCAAAATCGTCCCTCTGGAATTCAGGATAAATAGAGATTTCCATGTCCAACTCTTGCCATCTGAAACGTATAAATTTTTTTAATTGATGCATGTATATATCTTTTGCTATGATGCATGTATATATATTTTGCTATCATTTTTTAAATGAATCAAAAATGAATTAAAAATTAAAAAATTGGAATATTCAGAGAGTTGTTGAAAATTATTTAATAAAGGTATTATTTGTATAGTTGAATACTTACTGTCTCATGATTTTATAATATTCTGGTATAAAACTTTGATATCTAAGCCCAAACATACAAGAACTTTCGCTATTCGTCATAAGGTCACATGTAAAAGATGGTTTACTCTTACGACTGTCAACTAATGTTTTCATATTTTGTGGCGGAATAAACGATATCAAAGTTCGTGGCAAATTTTCTCTCAATGTCGTCAAAACTTGAATTAAATCTGCTTTGTGTTTATCGAGAATTGACGAAGGTGAAGAATTCCAACATATATTGGTGTATAAGTCGTTAACTCCGATCATTAACGATATTAACTGCAAACAAGATTGTCGTTATTAACATTTAATTTTCAGAAACTAATTACACCGATCAATAAAGTTTTGGTGACAAAATCTACATTTTGTGTTTTCCTGTTAATTTAGTTTTTCATGTGTGGTATTCAAAATATCGTAATTTTTCTACAGTCTGCTGCGACCAAACACATCATGTGATATAAAAGTCATATGAAACCTGGGAACCTATCTCGAGATGTAAAAGTGACGTGAGAAAGACAATTCTTAAACCATCTC